AAAACGGACACACACGCAACACCCAGGTTCTGGAACAGGACTGCAGACTAGAAGTGGATGAACAACCAGAACTTTCCGCAAGGGCATATAGCTGGTGAACGCGAAGAAGAAGAAGACAAGCGCTCGCGCGCGCGCGCACACACACACACACACACACACACACACACACCCACACAGATAGAGATAAAGAGAGAGGGGCAGGGGAGAGGGGAGTCCTGCGGTTTTTTGTTTCCATCTACGCAGCAGGAGGGAAAACAATAGAGGCGATAAGAATAAAACATATGTGGCACCAAAGAAAGAAACGCTTATTGAACCATTAATAACACAAACAAGATTATCCAGACTTCAGTTTGGGAGAATATCAATGACAGATTAACATAATTTTGATGACTAACTCAGCTGATCATATGAATTTACAAATTAATATGGCATTAAACAGAAACGAAAAAGCAACCCTAATGAATCTTTACGAAATTAAACAAAGTACAGAAATGGTACCCACAAATTATTCGTGTAAAATGTGTTATCATGACAAAGGACAAATAAAAACAGTAAACTCGCACAAGAAATATGTGAAATTTTGCATTATTTGATCAAATACGGTGAATACATTAATAATTATTGTTGAAGAAACAGAAATTAGCATAGTAATGAAGAACTAAGTGAATTAACACAACAAGTTTAACTGCAAATTACTTATTAAATAATGGGTCCGTTAATGTAATAGACAGATGAATTTAGCATGTGTTTTGTCTAGCTATCGTTGTTGTAAGTTCATTTGTTCCGAATTATTAGTTTGTTTAAATTATTCATTTTTTTAACCCCCCCCCCCCCCCCCCCCCCCCATTTTTTTTCTGCGATGTATGATTTTAATTGTGTTTTCTTCTTTTTCATCATCTGTATCTTTTTCTGATAATAATAATTCTTGTGTGTGTGTGTGTGTGTGTATACATTGTCACTAATAAGTATAGTAAACACGATAATGAGAAGAAAAAGCAAGGAGTGTAAGAGAGAGAGGGGGAGAAAGGGAGAGAGAGAGAAAGAGAGAAAGAGAGAGAGGCAGACAAGCATACAGACGATAAGACAAAGAAAAGACATTAGAGGGAGATGTGAGCGGGAAAAAAAACTATACGTGCGCTTTCTTGAGCTATTAGACCTTGGCCCAAATAAGTTTAAGTATCTGTGTATACTTCTTCTTCTTCTTCTTCTTCTTCTTCTTCTTCTTCTTCTTCTTCTTCTTCTTCTTCTTCTTCTTCTTCTTCTTCTTCTTCTTTTTCTTCGCGTTCACCGGCTGTAAACTCCGGAGGAAAGCTCTGACTGTTCGCCTACTTCTGGACTGCAGTCCTGTTCCAGAACCTGGGTGTTGCGTGTGCACCCGTTTGACAGATCTGACTAATTTTTATGCAGACTGTTGGTTTCTTGCGTCTCAGGCAGATGCACTCCGACTTCAAAGGAAGCTACCAATAAGTCGACTCTTACGACATGCTTTTGGGTAGGCAGTGGGTCTATTCTTGTTTTCCCTATAATAGGCCCCTGGAACCCACACGGGGATATCTGTATATGTATGTATATTTATGTATATGTGTGTGTGTTTGTGGCTGGAAATAAATTCCACATTCCTGCCCACACGACGACAAAACACCCTGTAGCAACATTGACCTTTCCACGTGTGGGTTCCATGGTCCCATTGTGGGGAGAAAAAGCATAGACCCGCTGATCTTACGGCCCCCGCCCCCACCTCCCCCTCTCCCCCACTATCATGTAACAAAAGTCGACTTATTATTAGCGTTTCCTTCGAAGTCGAAGTGTACCTACCTGAGAGGCTTTGAACCAAGTCTTAAATCTAATTCTTGAAGCAAGACAGCAGTCCAGATGTGGACGAACAACCAGAACCTTTCCAAGAAATTTATATGTCTATTATTTGCATATGTATTTTCATAACGTTAACCACTAGCCCATGCTCAACACTCAAAGAAAAGTCGACATGGATGTACAACGAGACGGTCACTCGTTCCATCGGAATTTAAACTCTGCACTTGCTGCTGAAGATAGGGCTGGAGCGCTTATGGGAATGTCCCGAATAGGGCGATGTCTATTTGTAAAACAACAATCTACAGTATTCGACATTCAGCATTAACCCCAAGCATAAACTTGACAAAACAGACCACAGAATCATCATATATGTGCACGTTCACTATAATTCTTTGCATTATCTAATAACGGGCACAAATCTATCTCCCCTCTTTCACAACCGTTATCACAGGCAGCCATCTTTGACCAAGTTCAGCAATTTGCCTTTCCGGTTGCCGTTTGATCTTCACGAAGTAAACATGATATTCAACTCACAACTGCTGATGCCCTTGCCTCGGCCTTGCTCCCAATTATCTCCCATGAACTTATCTAACAAGATACACAATTAAGTTAATTGCTTTATGAATACATTTTGATGTAAATGCGAAAATATCAAGTATATAACGAGCAAATAACCCAGTGTCAATAAAATAACGTATGCGAAAAGAATCAATTACATGTTGCTCCCAACGAAGTTAGTGTCAGTGCCACAGACAGAGGGTTAATAATATTGTCACATATATATTGGCGATAAAATGAAAGCCATGAATTAACCTTTGGAGACCCAGAGGCCACCCTTTGCCTCCGATATTGCCAGCGTCTTTATTACTCTCTGTTGATTATTTTGTTTTGTTCATTGCTGCTTGCAAATGTATAACATTAACATAGTTATGACAATAAGTTACGATCCTCTTTTTTTAAAGGTTTTTCTCTTCCCCCCCCCCCCCCCCCCCCCCCCCCACCGCCTCCCCCCTTACAGATAAATGCTTTTGTTTATCTTTTTATACAGATGTGAGAGTTGAAACTCTGCAAAAATGACAAGAAGGATTCAGGCTTTCAAATATAAAAGCTTTAGTACAGATTTTACTATTTAGCTGTTAAGAACATAAAGCTAACACATATGTAAAAGACCCACACACACACACACAGACACACACACACACACATACACAAGATTTGCAGGACATCAGGAACCTCTTCTGGCCGTAGTGAAACGTCGCAAGCCAGTTTAATTCAGAGGCGTGATGAGACATGATTCCATTGCAAAGGCTGCACCAAGGAACACTGGGTGGGGGCTGGAGGGGGTAGTCGAAGAAAAGGAGGGCAAAGAGCAACCTGAAATGACAAGATGAAGAAATTGACTAGACTAAATTACTATACACTTGTTAAACACGCAAAAAAAAAAAAAAAACACACACACACACACACAAAGATGGCGTGTTTTGTGAGCTACAGCTTTCATCGATACACCTCCACGACCGTAGGGGGTCAAGGGACCCCTCTATCATCCCTCCACTCCTTACTCCAGCTTGTGATTGCCTTCTCCGTCAAATTCCTTATTCTAATCTACAAATTTTCCCCTTTTTCACACCGACCCTGTGACTTCTACTGCAAGGACATTGTAGTTGTAGCCGAGGTCGGAACTGGAGTCACGCGACTTGGCCACGAGTGCTACTTATAACGCGTAATTAATAACTCGTCACCCGACCTGCTGTTTTGTCTGGCAACTCCAGGCTTCACTTGCCACTTGTAGCTTCAGCGTCTTGGTACGACTCGTTTTTCGCGGCCATCCACCGTGAGGTTTGGTTATTCCATTTCCCCCCCCCCCCCCCCTTTTTTTTTCCCCCACCTCTCCTAACTCCAAAAGATTTATTTTTAAAATGATAATGAAAATGAGTGTTCTAACTTTTCAGTTTTCCGCAAATTTATTAAAACAAAAGTGTCTTCAATATGATACGATTGTGTACAATCGGTTCAGCTATTTACATACAAAATCCAAATCTAACAGTTATTGACAGTTCTCCTTCTTCTGCGTTCGACATCAGTCATGCTAAACATTGAATCCCGTCTGGGTCACAAATAGGATTGTGCGTTTAAGGTCGCCACCGGTCCCCCATAGCTTCTCTTGCAATGTGGCTCCTTTGGGCCAGATCCATAGTCTTTGCTGGGAGAGGTTAGGGCAGTACTGTAGTATATGCTCAGGGATCTGTCTTTCTGCTCCACACTGGTGATGTGGGCAATCAGTTCTCTTTGTAGGTCAGTTTCTTTCAAGACATCCTCATTGCTCTTTTTATCTGTCTAAGGTATTCTCACCATTCGTCGATGAAACCATTTCTCTACAGCTTTAAAATAATTTTTCTCCAATCTACCAACTGTCAGTGATTCACTTCCATATATCAGGATTGGATTTATACAGCTTTTAAGAATTATCTTTCTCGTCTCGACGTCCATAAAGAGTTAATGTCTTCCAAGGGCACAGTGGCTTTTATCAAATACAGACATTCGCAGGTTTGTTCTTTTCTTTAGTGATAGCTTATCTTTCACATCTGCTAGGTTTGGCATTTTGATGCCAGAATCAATTATTTGCAATATGGTTGGCTGGTTTATTCGTTGGATGTTTGGTCGATTGCCTGGTTGGCTGGTTTATTCGTTGGATGTTTGGTTGGTTGCATGGTTGGCTGGTTTATTTGTTGGATGTTTGGTCGATTGCCTGGTTGGCTGGTTTATTTGTTGGATGTTTGGTTGGTTGCATGGTTGGCTGGTTTATTCGTTAGATGTTTGGTTGGTTGCATGGTTGGCTGGTTTATTCGTTGGATGTTTGGTCGGTTGGCTGGTTAGCTTCAAAGAAAACATCCGTAAATAGTTAACTTACGACATGCCTGCTGGGGAAAGTGGGCCGATTCTTTTTGTTCCCCCACAATGCGGCCCTGGAATCCGTACGTGGGCTCTTTTATTCAAAGCAAGATCCACTCAGTTTTCTTGTATTTTGCCTTTCTAATGCTGCATTTATATCTATTGTTTAATTAATTGTGTACCATTGATGTACAATGTAATCAATCAATGCTTGACATCAAATTAGTTTCTTTAATGTTTATGAATGCATACAATCAATGAGCTGCTGAAATACATTCTTATTATTTACCTTTCAGGTGAGAAACCATTCAAGTGTGAATATGAAGGATGTGACCGCAGATTTGCCAACAGCTCGGACCGGAAGAAGCATTCGCACGTGCACACCAGCGACAAGCCTTATAATTGCAAGGTCAAAGGTTGCGACAAGTCATACACTCACCCCAGCTCGCTCCGGAAGCACATGAAAGTTCACGGAAAGACATCTCCGGTGTTGGACGGGTACGACTCGGATCCTGACAGCCCGTCCAGTGAATCCAACCACGCAGCTAGTCCGGCCACCGTGCCGTCGCCGTCAGTAACTTCGCCACCTGTCTCCCAGCAACAGTCGCTGACATCGCAACAACACCAACAGTCAAGTCGGCAACAGCAACAACAGCAGCAACAGCAGCAGCAGCAGCAGCAACAACAACAACCACACCGGCAGTCTGTATCACAGCCTTTACACCCCACCCCAGCCATAGCCCCTATACATTCCTCGTCAGGCCATTTAATCTCCAGTCCCACATCCCTGTCCCATCTGTCCCATCACCCTAACCCACTATTATCCCACCACCCACATCATCCACACCCGCACCATCCCACGAGCCTTAGCGAGTGGTACGTTTGCCAGAGCAGCGGTTCCATGCCCACCCCTCCTAGCGACCACTCTCCTCTCTCATCTCTTGGACACATCTCATTACATCCACCCCAAATCCTCCAGTACACATAACACCCAAGAAACTACCCGCACACCCAGTACAAAATATTCCAGTGCGAACTATTCCTGCGAAGATTCACGCCTGTGACGTCTTCGGGGTCAAGATAGCAGACATACTAACCATCTTCTCACTGGAACCATCTGTAGAAGCACTTTGTTGTAGCTGCTGCAATCAAAGCACTCAACACTGTGAGAATGCCCTATGTGCAATGACATCGATTGTGCTGGATAACTACATGGTTACTGGCGAACGTTTCGCATCACGCATTCCTGGTGAACTTATAGTGACCGTTTCCAACTTTGCAAGTGACTTACCAAGCTGGCAACTTTCATACACCCGACAGCAAAACAAGTCTCTGACGGCCATTTACAAGTTACCTCCAACTGGGCAATCCTTTTCACTTCAGCGGAAATTCCCGGTTTTCAAATCCGATTCCTGTGTGGAAGGGGTCACTTTCATTATTGCAGTCTCATTCTGATGACAACACAGTGAGAATTTCATAGCAGTGCACGAACCCCTCAGCACTGGCAAGGATCAAACAATTTAATTTCAGCATGAGGAAATCTATGGTATATCCAAAGCCCTGGAGTCAGAAAGGTAAACCTGAAAAGAAACACAACTCTTCCGCTCCTCTGAAATAATGGATAATTTGACCACGTCAAAAAAAAAAAATGTGTGAAAATCATCCCATAATTTGCTTCATTATAAACTACTATGAAATTACCCCTATCTAAAAATATTCCTGAGACATCAGAGGTACCGCAGTGTGGACAGTCAAGTAAGCGTTTCGGTACAAATATCTTCATCAGTTTGCGGCGAAAACGAAGACATTGTTAAAAGTTGGACAACTATAACATGAACAATCACAAAACAATTATAAGACAGGCGGAATCAATAAGTGACAATGGGCTTGTAAAGACAAACATAAAAGGTGCAATGTAATCAAATAATGTAATTAATGACCAAATGATGTTCCTAAACATGTCCAGGTAACGTTTGTTTATTCCTTTACTTCAATTTCAAGAATAATAAATAATATAATGTGTGAATGGGGCCTGCGGGAGGGTAGTTATCTGCCTGCAGACTGAAGGTTTTGGGTTCAAATTACGCTCATATTGTAATAATTGATATAGTTTACCAGGACGCCCTAGCCTGAGATTAAAGACAGGAAATTCCTAGAAAAGTCAAGGCAGCCGGTAAGACGTTGACCACATCACCTATTGCCTGCCAAATGGTCTATAAAAAACATGAGCCTGGAGTCATATGTCCGATGTTCGTTCGTGTGAATACTTTTTTTCTTTCTAACTTTTGTTTTCTTTCCAGTCTAGAAATAAGCAGCCTTAAACGAGAAATTCGTGAAATACGCAGGTTGTAAAGAGAAATTCTGGGGAATACGCAGGCTTTAAATGGAAATTCGTGAAATACGCAGGCGTTAAAGGGAAATTCGTGGAATACGCAGGCTGTAATGGATAATTCGTGGAATACGCAGGCTGTAAAAGTAAATTCGTGGAATATGCAGGCTGTAAAGGTAAATTCGTGGAATACGCAGGCTGTAAAAGTAAATTCGTGGAATACGCAGGCTGTAACGGGAAATTCGTGGAATACGCAGGCTGTAACGGGAAATTCGTGGAATACTTGCCAGCTATGTTAGATCAAGAAATATGGGAGAAGTAGACGAAGAAGAAATCACAAGAAAACACAGGAATTATTCAAGTAGACTAGAGATCCGAACCTACCACTGGAAACTCCCTTCATCTTCTTAAGCAATAAATGATGGCTATTTGAGGGCAAATATAGTGCGTAGTAGCTAGAGGCTCGCCGGTTGACGTCCGTTTTTTTTCCTCTCCTCTGAGCGCCGAGTTTCGGAAAGATCCCCTCGTCACTCCCAGTGGGGCAATAGAAAACCACTGAATGTAAAATTTGCCTAGACAAAACTGCAACTGACAAACATTGCTGCGGTTGCTTTTGCAACTTTCTGTAAAGGAAACGCAACTAATTTTCCATGTGGGGCTTTATTTTGGGAAAACATAACAGACCCACTGCCTCTTAATAAGCATGCCGTAAGAGGTTACTATTACGGATGTTTCCTTCGAAGTTGGTGTGCATCTACATGAGAAGCGAGGAACCAACAGTCTACGCATAAAAAAAGCCACATCCGTAGCACGAATAAGCAAGCAAAGGTTACGTTCTGGATTAAAATCAAAGTGCAGTAGTGAAACATCTAAGAAGAAAAAAAAAAGGGGGGGGGGGGGGGGGGGGGGGGGGGGAAATGGGCGATACACATAGAAAAGTTGGCTACTTATTTCCTCCTCACTTTTCGTCATGAGTTAGTTTCTATAAAGTTCTGAGAATTATACGATACTTCTTCTTCTCTTTTAGCTTTACTGTTGGAACATTTGTGTTGTGGTTTACAGATTGTCTGTTAAGTCTGTGCTTTCGGCCCAACACAGCCGAAGTCTACAAATCTCTATTTCGTCGACTTTTACAACATAAATTGTAAGCGATAGTTGGTCTATTCTTGCTTAGGTGAATGGACAGGGGCAAAAGGGGGGGGGGGGGGTGCCTATCGCGGAGTGGCCAGCCAACCGTTTACCTGGTGTTCGGAAGGTCGCGTGTTCATTTCACGGCGGCAGCGTTTGGACTCACGAGTGCAATTTTTGTGTGTGTGTGTGTGGTTTAACAAAGACCCCAAATTTTCTTTCCCGGAGCTTCGATGTTAGTGGTTTGGAACAAACATTCTGCACACAAATAAGCCAGATCTGTAAAAGGGATGTGCACGCACAATTCAATTTCTAGAACAAGACTTAACTCCAGAAGCGGAAGAACAACCAAATCTCTCCGCTGGATTTGACAGCCAAGGAGGTAACGGACCAATCAACGCCCGAGGGGCATCAGGAAAATGACCCAAGACTCATTTGTTTAGACCAATCGACACTCAGTTGGTGATGTGGTCAACATCATGCCGGCCGCCTTTACCCCCCCCCCCCCCCAGAATATTACCTGGTACCCATTTTAGACTAGGTCGACGAGGGGAACATTTTATTTTTAAAAAGAAATCCCATTTGATTAGAACCCAAAACCTTAACGCCGGCAAGCGAGCCTCTAGCCACTAGCCATGTATAATAAGAACGCTACTAGCACCATGGGCCGGACTTTTTTTTAAAAAATGACCTTGGCTTCCAGGTTGACCCAGTCCTTGAGTGGGCACCGGGTGCAGTCCATGGAAGTAGAGGCGGCCGGCGTGTTGCTGACATCACCCATCTTGTGGCGATTGGTCTATACAAATATAGGTCTAGCCCTATATGCCCTATAGGCCTGAAGACGTGGAAAAGGGTCCTTTACTTTACTTTATTACTGGCACCATTGGTATTGCAACTCTGGACTGGCTGCTGAAGATCGTGACGAAGCACTAAGGGGAATACCCCGAGCGCTGTGATGTCGGTTCTTGAATCAACTCAACTCAACCCTCTACCTATGATCGATCAGCTCTCCATACCACTATGACAAACAACACATAACGGCCTGCTGCTAAATCGCCTGTAGCTAGGACCGAACCTGACACCCTAGAATTACATGCAATGAGCGTTTGAACCGACTGAGCCCGAAACGTCGGCAGGGGAGAAGGATCGAATAATTTTTTTCAGAACATCCTAGAAAATTTACTATGAGGCAAAATGGCGAGGAAAAGAACCATTCATCCTATCTCATTATGTGGTGACAAAGAGTAAAGTATAGGTCCCTTTAGGCGCATTGGGAATATAGGTAGGGCTAGACCTTTGTCTTTATACACCAATAGGTAATTGGTGGGTGATATGGTCAGCACGACGCCGGCCGCCTTTACTTCCCAGGACTGCACCTGGTACCCACTTAGGGCTGGCTTGACCTGGAAGTAAAGGTGAAGATAAGTTGAAGAAAAAAAAAGCCCGGATCCGCCAGGACGCGAACCCACAACCTTGCGATCCGCAGGCGGGCGTCCAGCCGCCAACGCCACTGTCACTCCCATTACTTGGCCAAGAATATGCGAATGTCCATCACTTACACCCCAACAACCAAATCTGTTTTGTGGCTTAATTTATCTGACCTGATTGTGTGTAGTGTTTGTTACTGAAATCTTTAAGGGAAAAAAGTCATATGATATTTGCAAATCTTTTTATGTCTAGAATAAAGGTTATATTACATTTTACTGTTTGTTTGGTGTAGTTTTATGTTTCATGTGTGCTGTTCCTCTAACTCTTGATCGTTGAATGACAGGTTTGGTGTAGTCTTATGTTTCCTTTGTGCTGTTCTTCTTTCTCTTGATCGTTGAATGACAGGTTTGGTGTAGTCTTATGTTTCCTGTGTGCTGTTCTTCTAACTCTTGGTCGTTGAATGACAGGACTGGCCATGACCAACAATGGCAGTGATTTTTTATAAAGGATAGCAGAAAATGTCTGCATGAAGTTGTGTAAAATGGCTGAAGGTGCAAGAGTTTACTTGTAAGTTTCTATAGGCATAGGATAACCCGTAATAATTTACATCAAGAAAAAAAAAAAAAAACAGATCAAATGGTTCAGACACATTTCAAAACTGTCATCGCCTAGAGCCCCGTCACCTAGACACCGGAAGCCCAGATAGAGGTTGATGACGCAGTGTGCTGATAGATGGAATCTCCTAGGCTATAAACACCAGCATTGAGGTAGCACATACCAAGACTAGCATCCGATATCCTTTAAAAACCTGGGGTTGACTAGGGTGACTAGAGAAGGAGGAGGAGGAGGAGGAGGAGGAGGAGGAGAAAAAGACGTTTATGTGGGTTAAGGTCAGCCTATATTTGGTAATCGTATATCCCCAGCCCACACCGGGTTTCCTCATTGCCCTTTCAATGTCTTATACCCATCCGCCAGTCTTCATCTCTCTATTTTTTCTTTTACTTTCATGCTATTCTTTGTTCTCTCACTCATAGTATCTCGCTGGCACCCCCCCCCCCCCCCCCCTTTTTGCCCCCTGTGTGTGTGTGTGTGTGTGCGCGCGC